ATTGAAGAGCGAAATGCTCTGCCCAGCGACCCAATCGCCTGTAAGGTTGGTGATCTTCGTGCCGTCTGATCCGCAAATCGTCCGGCTGATAGCGTGAGAATTACAACCGGTGGCCTTGATGATGCAGAATAGACGGCAGAAGTTGCCAGCTGATGTAGCAGCTTCCATCTCATCAGCTTGTTTTGACCACCAAGGTTCGCGATCAGAGCGAAGGCTTGCTTTCAACTGTTGCGTAATAGACCGGTGGTGTTCGTTGTACTCTGCTCTAGCAGGCACCGCCCGTCGGCGATCCAGCAATTCCGACGATCTTCCTGAGGTCCAGCTGTTGGGAGTGGAGCGAGCGAGGCCACAGTTGGACAAACCGGCCGACAGCAAAGCTTGTTGCACACTTGACCAGTGTTGATTAACATCTAGAGAGTGAGACAGAGCGGATTTTCACGCAGCCTTTGTCGATACTTCTTCTTCACCAATGGGTCCTCCAACTTGTAGGTGTTCAGTCCGGTGTGTTTGGACCTAGGTGAACGACCGAAACGCATGCAAACAGTCGCACATATCAGTGCATGATCGGTATCGACGTATGTTGACCAAACTGGTCGGCAGTCGCGTACGCTGCCATGCTACCTGCAACTTATAGCTATGTGGTCAATCTGTGACCAGTGTTGGGTTGATGATGGGGAGCGCCAATGGCGTACTGGCGTCCAGGATGACTGAAGCTGGTGCTGGAGAGGAATAGCACACAGACAGCAGCACAAAGACTAAGCAGTCTCTCTCTGTTGTCTGAGCGAACATCATCATATCCGTGCGGTCCCCCGACGTGGCGCTCACATGGCAGCAGACGACCGACACGCGCATTGAAATCTTTTGCCAAAACAATGATGGCTGGTTTAGGAGCAGCTCATGAAGGTTCTGGTAGAACTGATCTTTAACTGTGTCCGAGCTACAGTCAGTTGGCGCGTAGGCACAGACCACGAAGAGAGCACGCTTTTCAACTCGATGTCTGCTTACCTCATCGCACAAAGGCGACTATTGTGCGGAATCCAATCAATCAAAGCAGTCTATACTCTAGCACTGAGGGCGATACCAACATTAGCTTGCCCAGATGCGGCAGACTCAGCATCACCAGAGAGGCGGAGATGAAAGCGGGTGCATGAGTGGAGTGGTGACACCAGCTGGTAGACCGAGTTAGAGTCCTGGAGTCATGTTCCATTCAGGCGGTAGATATCAATTCCTAGGACCTCTAGTGTGCGTGTTAGTTCAGCTTGCTGACCGATCAGTAATGTGCGTACGCTGAAGGATGCAAGTTGGAACTCCGTTCCGGGTTGCAGGAACGAAGATGTGTGACTTTGGGACTGGCAGCTCTCTGTTGAGCACTGTATGGTTGAGTTGGCAGATGTCACGGGAACAGGTTCATCAGTGTAGGTGGGGTTGATCGCCATAGAGGAAACAGGTAAAAATGGGTGTGAATGGTGTAAGGGAAGGGTAGGTAAAATGGTGGCATATGTTTGTGAAGTTGGCATAGTAACATGAGTGAATAGCATCGTAGCAGCAAGAGAGCGGGTGAATGGCTGTGGTTGTAAGTCCGTGGTTCGTCAGTAGGCGAGATACTACCCGGTTGACCAGGCCGAAGTAGGGGGTTGTCTTAGGGGGCCCCACCCCGAGGCTTTGATCAAGGATCTAACCTACAAGGCAGCAGGGCGATATGAGGGTATCGCAACCCGTTGGGAGCCGGTGACGTCTTTAGGAGCGCATAGGAACATGGGCCCAACACACCCTTGAATTACAATGCCACTCAGAGAAATGCAAGGGGTAGTGACTTTATTTAGTGGAGAGTCACATCCGCCACGTCACATTGTTGTTAAACGAACATATGCAACTTTCATAAAGAGGACGCTTGCCAGGCGAAAACCCACCACGTCCTGGAAAACTGCCGCCGAACCATGCGCTGGAACGGAATAATCCCGAAACACCTAGCTGGCACCACGAGGTTGTTCGGTCTATGGAAAACTATATCCTGAGCTCCACACCGCAACTAAGATTAGTCAGGATTGTCATCATTCTTTATCGACTCCGTGATCGAAATGACCGCAAATTGCTCAGTTCACACAGCCAGAATGGTAGTTCTTCCAGGAGACCTACTGGTGGCCAATGAAAAAAAGGACAAGGAGTCTGCTTGCAAACCGGATGTCACCGGTTTGAGCCTGCGTAGAGGACCGCGCCGCTCTCGCAGCATTCTTAGCCCATGATCGACTGGTGGTGGTTGCACGACAGCAAAGCGTTGGTATGGTGTCCTGTTAGTTTTGCTCTGTTCTCACTGACGACTTAGCTCTGCATAGGTTGTTCGCAGTGATTATACAAACACTAGTGAATGGACTGACGCTCAGTGTTGTACGCGTCCGCATATGTACTATCGCAGGACTAGACCGACATCCCAACGATTTCAGCTATAGCTGAACAGCCACTAGTAATGGTAAATGGGTTCACATACCTTGATAGTTGTGCCACCTTTGGTGATCACTTCAATGAGCGGACTATTGCGCACATTAACAAGACATTCGTGGCTATTAAGAGGTTCGACGATCTATGGACATGGCAGGATAGCAGTCTGTCAATGAAAGCCAAGGCGTATAAAGCTGTGGTAAGGATGGTGTCACTGTATAAAGCCAAACTGGTCACTTCACACTGAACAAATCAGACTAACGACCATATTTAATCACCGGTGTTTACAGAGTATTGCTCACATCTGGAGAGAACGCCCGAAGAGCACTGAGGAGAACAGACAAGAAACTTTTTGATGTATCATTAGAGAACTTGTTAAAATTTAACTGTTTCCGTTGGCTAGGATATGTCCTCAGTATGTAAAACGACATCCTTTTTCGGTCTGCCTTATATGCCGTCGCTGCATCAAGCTGGCCGAAATGGCGAGGTGGGCAGTGGAAGACAAGATACAAAAGTGGGCAAAAAGTGACCGAAAGAGCTGATCAGGTTGGTGCCCTCTTCGTGGATGGCGTCCTCGAGATGGATAACGTCAGTAGCCGACTCGCAGCCCAAAAATCACAAGCCTGCGTTGTAATCCAAAAAGGTAACTTCCAGCCTGCGTGGGGAACCGAGCGACTTTCGCAGTATCCGTGGCCCACGCGTGACTATTGGTAGTTGCACGGCGTGCTGCTAATAACACACCGGTGGTTAAAGACGCATTCAGACATAGCAGTCACAGTCAGTGGACCGCCGGTAGCAGGTCTCTAGCACCTAGCTATTCCATAACCATTAGCTCTACGCACCCTTTTATTAGCTCTCTTTCATGATATGCTGTTTGTGTTCGACCTCGTTCTCTAGCCGTTGTTATTTACCGCCATCCTGGCGACGCCACTTGTGGCAACAGGATCCACCGCAACCCGGTGCTATTTTATTGATGCCTAACTCTTCAAAGCCCTCCGGTGAATAAAAACTAAGTCACTCGAGGAATCAACAATTTGACCCAAATAACTTCGTCTTGCTCTCAAAACAAGCTAAAATAAGATGACGAGCAAACTCTCCTTCCTCTGCTGCTGGATAATGGTATTATTGGTGTCTACAACAAGAGCAAAAATGGCACGAACAATCCCACACCCACTTTAGTGGTAGACAGAAACATGTGTTTGACGCTACATAGGGCTCAAGGGCGAGAAACTAAAGTGGACGAAATGGAAGTTACGTGATTGTGACAACCTTTTCAATGTAGCAGAAGGTACGATGGGCCGAGCAGAGGCCTGCAACAGCTGACAACCCAAAAATGCGACTCGGTGAGCATCCAACCGATTGAGGAATGACGCGGAATCTAGATGAATCCGATGCATCTCATTAAATGGCGGTGAGCGGAAGTAAGATGATGTGTTATCTTGTGATACACCACGGGGCAAATGACTGAACAGTAAAGTAGCAAATGGTCTCATCCATGGCTAGGGAGGCGTCCCTAAAATTCTGATTGTCTATGGCTAAAAAATTTACACTGTATTGTGCCTATCAAACTGCAACAATTGACAGGATTTCGACGGCAAAGACACAATGTGTGCCAGTATGCAGGCATAACGATTTGAGACTCGGCCAAAGCCCCCTTACCACAATTCGAGAATGAGCCACAATGTCCACTTAGATAGTTAATCTCAGAACTTACAAGATGCCGAAGCCGTTGGTGTTGCAGGAATTCGTGTTTCGCTATTCAAAAACCGGCGTTCACTTCAACAACATTTTAGCAATGCGTACCCATCTGAGTGCTGTACGGGTAAACCATTGAGCGAACAACCATAAAACCTAAAGGAATGACCTTAAAAATAAGTCAAAATGCCTGGGTCCCGTGGAAACACAGGAGGAACTTCTACAGACATGTGCAGTGACGTAACCAAGGGGCAAGAACAATTGGTCACCAAACTGCATGCATATTATCACAAACCCGTGCAATGCTCTTTTTGCCGTTAATCAACAGAAGTTCGATTTCGGTGCAGCACGGCTTCTTTTTCGCTACGATAATTGCCACACATGCTGAAACTGCTACCAAACAGAGTGCTATGAAAACACCAGGTAGTAACAAACACTATGCGCCAGTACATTTCCCCATCTGGCATATTTCTTCAACAAGTAAACACAATGTTAGTACTCTGTGATCTGAATGGCAGATGGAAGCAATCTGTCAACAAAACAAGAAATACACACTTCACTTTCATAAAAGTGAGCGTTTTTGAGACAATGCAATCACGCAGTAAAGTATTCGTGAGAAGAAGCGAACATCTAACTGCAAAACGTGCAGTGGCACTTTGACATACACCACTTAGAAATTGTGCGGCAACTGCAAGTGAAGGAACTGGGACAACTTTGGGATACAGTACATTTAATGGGCACAATATTCTAGGCAGTCTTCCGCATAGTGTGAAATAGAGAACGCCAAAGGATTGGATATTTTTATACTCCGGCATAAGTAAAAGCAACAAAGAACTACAACATAGTGACGAAAGCAATTCAGCACTCACTCAAATGAACACACTTTACGTGAGCTCGGAGGTTACTCCTGTCTGAAAACGATTGTTCACCGCCTTCATAATGGTGAGTTGGTAGTACTGGAATATGGCAGAGAATGCGGACGGTCGAAAAAAAATAAAAAGGCAATGTAATTCAATGGGTGACAGTTTGCAGTTAAGGTAACCGTGTTAGGTGAACAGTTGGCAACTGTTTAAGAACAGAAGGCCAATGGAACTGCTGTATATACCATGACCTGACGTGTGACGTTTCTGGCCAATTTGCATGGCAATGAGGTTACGGTTTGGAAAATCAACGCAGGTGCGCCCCCAGCTAATGTGTAATGATGAGGTACGGTAAGTAGTTAAATGTCAAATTACATGCATAAATTATAGGTCCGCATACCTTGTTCAGAAACATTCGGTACCAGAGGTTCTCCAGCTGCAAGGTTGTGACAACCATCCAATGAGTCCAGATTGCCAACTTGTTCAGTTTTGAATGATCGATCGACAGTAGGAAGCGCCTCAGAATCCAGTGGGTCCTTCTTCGGGTGATCCAGGGAGGCACCAACTTCTTCTAGGTTTGAAGACATTATCGGTAACTGTGATTCTGTAGGCTCCGGCTTCGGCCTCAGAATGCAGAGACTCAAAGGCTGCATCTTCTGTGGACTAAGCCGTGTCGCCATGTACAAAAACGGATCAGATGAGCATCCTGAGTAGACAGAAGAGGCTCCAAACCTGTGAGAACCAGGTGACCGTATACTAATGCATAGTTAGAAAAAACAGTCGTCATTAAAAGAAGTTTAAGAGAGATAACATTAAAGTCACAACTCAACCACACGGCGTGTTCCCTAAATGCAGCTTTGAATTGCTTTCCGCTGTGCCAAGCGTTGCTCGCGGATCTCAGTAGCACAGTGTTCAGGGTGTCAGCCGTGAACAATTATGCTCTAAGTTCCACCCCAGCTCAGGATACCTCAACCTAAGGAGTCCAAACTAGGACAAAACCGCGGTCGTGGTGTACTAGTGTTGGGGGGGGGGGGGAGCAACGCCCAGACACAGTAATAAATCAAAAGGTAAAACAGACAGTGTAACAGAGTTTATCAAAATTCCCCCAATGTCGGGTTGAAAAATGAAATGTGTCAGCTTATACGCCGTAACGACGCTTCGCTGCCGGGTTACTAATACCGATGTAGAAGAGCTGTTGATTTGGTAGACGTGAGGCAAAGTACGTCACGTTAGAGGTCAGAAAAGAGGAGGTGCGAGGTTATGTAGTACATCATTCACTGATTTCCTACGAATAACAATCAAAAGTACGCTGTAACGCAGTACAGAAGCTTCGCCGCCATGCAACCCATTACCAGACGTGAGCGAAATGAAGAGAATGTGAAGGTCACCCGGTCCCCTATGCAGTCTCGAACCGGTGACGCACGGGTTGCAAAGCAAAAGCCTTGTCTTTTCGGCCACCGGCCGAATAACCGTAGCTTACAGGTTACAAACAATCTACCAGGATGAATTCATGACCAACAAATACCAAAACAGATGAGCACATCGCCCCGAAACAGCAACAATAAGTTCACGAATTAACAGAGGCGTTGTGGTGACGAGAAGAAAGGATGGAGAAGGACCTAGACGCAAAGCGCAAATATATGAGATCAAGGCATGAACACTTTGTCCACATCGTATGATTACAGAGTTAGATACTGCATAAAGATAAAGTTGTACCAACGAGACGGTTTTTGTACTCAATGTCATGAGTAAAACAGGCATCGGCAGTAGGCCTGTACACAGTAACGACGCTTCACTGCCGCGCAATCAGCACCAGTCAAGTGTGGGCTAAGAATACTGCGAGGATCGCCCAGTCACCTAGGCAGCATAGAAACCGCAACCACAGAATTACAAGGCACGCCTGTGATCTTTAAGGCCACGAGGCAGCCTAAAACAAACTAATTCCACACTGGCATCTGCATCCGTACGAAGAAGCGGCAAGTACATTTGTGAGGTCATAGAGCAAAGGTGACAACCACCCTCTGGATAGAAGCAATTGCTGATACTTCAGGATCTCAACAGCATACTGGTATTTATTACTAAACCTCCGCTGCGGAGCGAATCCCATATGCTACTTGCGGGCAACGGAAACTGCGAAGTTGTCCACAGTTACATAAGTTCTAGCTAGTAATCTGCAGATGGCAAACCAAACGAATTAGTTGTATGATCAGATGTCGAGGCATGCTCCTTTCCTTCGCTCAAAAGTGCACCACCAGAACCATGTAAGAATGCGGTGACCTACGTAATGTAGGTATTTACTGGCCAATTTGTCGCATCACTGTTTTGGCGGAGCTGCTCGAAAAGATTGTGAAAAAGAATCTTCTCCAGCTGTTAGAGCCGAAAGATCACCTAACGCCGACACAATATGGTTTCATAAAAGAGCCCCTCGTGAATTACCAACCTGCTGTTGATGCGGCAGGAATATTCGCAAGCGCTGAAACGGGGAAAGTCAGTGGATGTTACTTACATAGATTTCAGTCAAGCTTTGGTTAAAATGAACCATGAGGTCCTGTTCTACAAGCTGAGGATGAGTGATGTGGGTGGCGCACTGCACCAGCGGATAAGCGACTTCCTTATTGGGAGATGGCGGGTGCAAGTAGACGACCACCTAACAGACCGGTAACCCCTCGAATAGCGATGTACCTCAAAGCACAGTCATGGAGCCAATTTTATTCATGATCCGCAGCTTCTTCGACTACCTTTTGCACTAATTGAAAACGATTTGAAGATTTGGAGGGCTAATGATTCACTTGACGAATGTGACGTCTTTCAGCGGGACCTCGACCGTCTATCCCGGTGGTATGCATAAGTTGACCTACCGAACAATCCGGCAGTCTTCGTTTATGAGTCTGGGGACGGGTGGTAATGAGCGTGCGTACACCACGGCCGGCAATCCGCTGCATCTCACCAGTTCCGTAAAGGATCTAGGCGTACTCTCACGCTGTCACCTGAAGTCTGTCGACAACACGCACAGACTGTACGTGAACGGACTACGCCTGCTTTGGGAACTTAGATGTAACTACTGCATTTGGTCTGAAGAAACTGCTACCCGTCGTTTCTCGTCTATGATAACACCGATGCTTGCGTACGAAATGCCCGTTTATTGTCCGATCCCAATAGGTGAGGTGCAGAGACTGGAACCGCTCCAGCATGTAGCTACCCGGCTCATCCCCCATTTACGTAGTATGCATGCATGGAGGTAACCTCAACAGTCTAGCAAATAGACACAGAGACAACAAAGCCATGAAGATTAGCAGATACGGAGAAGTCACTGCATCATAATATCCTGGCATAGTAGTTTAAAGTGAGCAACACACTTCAGCTAATATGCCGCAGAAAGAAAGGAACATTGTGACTAAAAGTAGAACGAAACATTTTTAGTTTGTTGTCCACACGGCGATTTATCGCACTGATGATGTCGTCTAGCCTGACGATGAAACGTCTGCAACCAAATCAAACAGCTCGGAGAACACCCGCATACCCTTATCTCTTTTTTGTCATTTTCAATATTTGTAGTATTAAACACGCGAATCAGTACAATACTGTACACAATTCTTCCATTGCTTCCGGCTGCAAGCCAGTCTTCAAGTGTGTTAAGCCATTGGCACTCCTCATCTTTGGGTCCCTATCCTGCATGACGTACGGATCCAACAGCGGCGAGACACGACGACAAATTCATGTGCTGCCGCTATGTAGAAGGTTGACCACCACGCGGTCGCCTCCAGCCAGGTCCTTGAAGAATAGGTAGCGGGCGACGCGGTAGATGTTCAGGTGTCATGCCTAAGACGTGACAGAACCATCTCAACTAGTGCAGCAAAACCAGTTTGTTGAAGGGAATACTCGCATTCCCCAAGATGCGAAGTCGAACGTCATCAATGTTAACTCGATGTTGCCACCAAACACGAGCAATCCTCCTTAAGCAACCGTTATCGAAGGCAGAAAGACGACGCATGTCTTCCACGCGAATCGGCCAGGACTCGCTCCCATACAACAATACTGAGCGAACTGATGCGCTGTAAACGCGGCCCTTTAGCGAGAATGAGACGTCGCGACGACGCCACAAGTGCCTCAGATTGACAAATGCTGATCGAGCTTTAGCGATACGAAGAGAAACTTCTTTGCTGATAGTGCCGTCAGCAGAAACACAGCTCCCAAGGTAGACAAAACTATCTACCTGTTCAAGTTGTGCACCTTCGAGAGTGAGCACGGGAGCAGGTGAAAGCCAATCCTTGAGCAGTACTTTACACTTCGATGGGGCGAAGCTCATGCCATACTTAGATGCTTCAACCGCCAAACGATCCAGAATGAGTTGCATACCCTGAGGATCGTCACCAAGTAAGGCGATATCATCAGCATAATCTAAGTCAGTCGAGCGCTCACTCGGTAGAAGCTCTAGGCCACAATGTTGGAAACCTAGAGTATTCGACAGAACGTCTTCGATTGCGAAATTAAAGAGCAATGGGGACATAGAGCAGCCCTGTCGCATACCGCTATTGACAGCGAATTGCGAGGAAAGCTTGCCATAGACCCTCATTCTGCCGGATGTACGAAGGTAACGAGCTCGTAAGATGGTGGTGTAGTTCTCTGGCACCCCGTTCTTCAGCAAGCAACGCCATCAAGCGAGATCGCCGGAGTCAAATGCGGCACGGATGTCTAGCAATGCAATGATAGTGGGCCTGTGATAAATGGGGCGAGTTTCGAGGAGCTGGCGGAGCGTGAAGACTTGATTCACGCATCCGCGGCCAGAACGGAAACCAGCTTGTTCTTCATGGTAGTATAATTTACGTACTGAGGATAGTCTGCAATGCAGAATGGATGTCAATAGCTTAGAGGCAACCGAAATAAGACTAATCCCGCGATGATGTACAAAGGAAGTGAGAGTGCCTTTGTTGAAAATCAATAATTGATCCATCCGAAAAGGCACTTTCTCTTCATGCCAGATTTTTGCGAACAGCGCGGTCTGCTGGTTAATGATCGCCACACCGCTGTATCTGAACAGCTCCGGAGGAAGTCTGTCTGAGCCGGCAGCCTTGAATCACTTCAAGCGTCGAATTTCGAGGCAAGCTTTCACTTCGCATGGTGGATTCAGTGGGACGAGCCACGGTGGACAACAAGGTGTACTGTATGTACTGATGGATTGTGGAGGCCAGTTGAAATGCGAGAGAAATTGCTCGGCCGTGCGGTCCATAAGCGTCTGTTGGTTGGTGATCGGAGACCCATGCACCCCACAGATAACCACACTGACATCAGGCTTCCTAGGGCCAGTGGACCGAATGAGTTGGAAAAGCTAGCGAGTGTTGCCAGAGAGGGCCGGGGTCTCCATCTCTAAAGCACGCTCAGACCACCATGTCTCGCGATCCATGTGTAGGCTTTGCTTGAGCAGCCAGTTGGCAGAACGGCGCCGCTCGTTGCAATCTGATTCCGTCGGGATATCTTTGCGGCGTTCGAACAGCTCCAGAGAAGGAGCAGTGTTCCAAACCTTTAGGGTGCGTCGAGTTAGGTCGCAGCAGGACTGTCCGGAAATGGTCATCGCTTTCCGAATACAGGTGTAGTGTTGCCCTGTCTTGCGGTGGATTGCAACTGAGTGCATATGCCAGTGAAGACTGATAGCTCGCCTGGACAGAGGAATCAGTCAATCAGTTTATATCAATTTTTCGGAGATTCGTGTTTCAGGACCCCCAGAACATGTAGATA